AAACTTACATCTAAATTACCCAACTCTATCATTATGAAATATAATTTAATGTAAACCTCTAAATTTATATCAAATTTACTCACTACCATTCTGATAGATAATATATCTAAGTAACCCTTTAAATTTGCATCTAAACATTACCACTTCCTTTATTATAAAAATAAAAATATATTTATTAAATTACAAATATTTTATATTACGGTAATACTCTGACACCGGCGTCCGTTCTTATCCGAACGCCACACGCCCACACACCCGTCTTGCGGCTGTCTTTCCCCGTGACTCGCTCCTACCCATGGTCCTTATCCGGATGCCGTGCACTCACACACGCCTTGCGCTTTCGCTCTTGCTTGCCCGGCAAGGCGCTCGCGACGACGACATACGGCTCCCTATTCCACGATGCGCTCCATCCATCACACATGCGCCGCGTCCAACCCCCCATGTCATCGTTGTCCGCCCGGGCGGCTTCGATGGGATATGTGCTATCGGCGGTGGCGAGCGTGCTGGAGCAGCCCACGAGCCATGACGTCGAGGGTGGCCTAGGAGATGGTTCTCCTCAGGGGGCCCCTCTAGGCAGCGGCCCTGCTCGGCGGGGGCTCGCTATTGCCACTCCAGCGCCCCCAGGGCGACCTCCATCCGCTTCCTGTACTCCTCGCTGATCTACCGCATTTCCCCACTATAGGTAGGCCATGGCCTCACAGGCGAACGTTGTGTTTCAATTGTTTCAGGAGTTTCAAACTTTTGTTTTAAATGTTTCATCTGGATATTGCAACAGTATATCTAGGATGTTGCATATGTTCCAATGATAAAATACGCATGTGTGCAAGCTTATGTTTTAAGTGTTTCAGGTGTTTTCTGACATATGTTGCAAATGTTTTATTTGAATGTTTTAAAAGTAGACTTGGTGTTGCACATGTTGCAATGGCTACACCCGTATATTTAAATAGCGTATTTGAAGTGTTTCATCTATTTTAGACTTATGTTGAAAATGTTTCATATGGATGTTTCAAAAGTAGATCTAGTGTTGCACATGTTGCAATGGTGTCGGTGGCTGGCGGACAGCGGCATGCCGCAGGGATTCAGCTCCTACCTTGCGCTTTTCTCACGAGGCGCCCCTTGGCCTTTCCTTTCCTCTACATCCCCTCCCTTCCATTCCCTTTATTTCCCTCCATCTCACCGTGGCAATTTGAGCTTGGCGCGGAAACTCTACCTGAGAAGCGCACGAACGTCGGGTAGATGCAGTAGCAGACGTGGGGCGGGCGGGAAGCACAGCAGGCGTGGACAGCCGCAGCAGCTTGCGCAGCGGGGCAGGCATGGGCGTCTAGATGTCCTAGCGCTAACTAGGCCCGAGACAAGCTAACGCACGGACGTCCAGCCCTAGGACCGTGTCGGACATAGCTCCCCGCGCCTGCTTCGTGCCACACGCCCCGCCTGCTCGGGTTCTACGCCACTCGAACGACTCGCTCCACCCAAGCTGTCCGCTCCCACGTGGGCCCACGCCACCCGAACATTACCGGCATTGAGAAGAGAAGGAAACACTGAGGCGAGACAGCAGAAGGCGAGGAGAGAGATGCAACACCTAATCTACTTTTGAAATATCTAAATAAAATATTTACAACATATGTCTAAAGCACTTGTAAAAATACATAAAAACGGTTGAAAAAGCCATTGCAAAATATATGCACCATCCAGATTAAACACATGCAACATCCAGATAAACACGCTTGCAAACATACGTCTGAAAAATAGATGAAACATTTAGAACAGACGCTTGCAACATACGTGTACAACCATTGCAACGTATGCAACATCCCGATCTAACTTTGCAACATCGATATGAAACACTTGCAATATACTTATGAAACATCTAAAACACTTAAAACATACACTTGCAACATACACTTGAAACATCTAAAACACTTCAAACATACACTTGCAACATTAGTTTTTCACCTTCTTCTTTCGGATGACGCAGAGCAGAGCGGGGAACGGCCGGTTTTGGCCAGCCGGTAGCCAAGGATTGTGGCACAGCATGGCAGCAGCCAGCTGCGCCTACGCCGAGCATGGCCTGGCCACTCTGGATCTCTGATGAGCGGTGCCGGCGTCGAAGCGGCCACGACCTTCTGGTGGGGAATGGTAGCGTCGGTAGCACCTTGGCACCACCTCGGCGTGGCGGGGACGAGGCATGGTGCTCAGTTGTGGGGCACGGAGCAAGGTGCATAGGGGCGGGGACAAGGCATGGCGCAGTGTGGGATGGGGCGCAGCGAGGTGGAGCATGCGTAGCGGGGGATGGAGTGCGGCGTGGCGGCAGACGCGGCATAGGATAAGGGCGCTGCGCGGAGCGTGGCAGCGAGGCGGCAAGGAGGCGTGGTGAAGCCGCGACGCGAAGCGAAGCTAGTGGGGATTGAGGATTTCTGTTTTTAGAAGGTGGGGATTTATGGGGAGCAGGCTCGTTGCCTATTGGACCCGTGCTGCGCAGGTCTAGGAACAGGCCATCCGAACGGACACCCTCACCAGAGCATTAGCGTTCCCTAAAAAAAGCATTAACATTATAAAAAATATTTACCTTCAACCAGTTATAACAAGTCGCAAATCAGTTGTAATCATCCTACATGCGAGTTGTGACCAAGCCAATTACAACTAGTCATAACTCGATTGCAACTAGATGGGATGATGCTAGTGGTGATCAACCGAGCCAGTCTCAACTAGGACCAATATTGGTATTAACTCGATTGCAACTAGATGGGATGATGCTATAATAGTGATTTGTGACCAACTACGCCGGTTACAACCAGTCGCAACTTATCGACATCCTATCGACAGTGTACTTTTAACGCAAACGTAAACACGTGACCGCGGAGCGATACACGGATGGCATGCCTCTTCTTCCTTCCCCTGCTTCTTCTTCCTTCGCCGTTGTCCTCGGCCCTCCGCCTGTCGGGGGCTTGGGCGAAGGCTCCCCTTGAGATCCCTGCAGATCACCACTTATGCAATTCACAATATTAGCCTTTTCCGGTTAGGGTGGTGCATAGCCTCCGCAGCTCATGTGTCCATGTCCCAACATGCTTCTTCTTCCTCCCCTGCTTCTTCTTCCTCCAGCGCCCACGTCCCTACTCCACCACGAGTGCCCGCGCCCGCGCTCTCGCCGGAGAGGAAGAAGGCGCTAGGGTTCCTGCGAGGCAAGCCGTCTTCTTCTAGCTCCATCTCCGGCGGCCTTAGAAGGAATAAGGTTTGTGGGAGGTAGGCTAGCCAGGCGGTGAGGACAGTGGCCGGTGGCATTAGGGCCCTGGCGGTGGTGGAGGCGGCCAGGCTAGGTCAGGTCTGGGGTGTCGCTAGGGTTAGGGTGGCCGGGCTCGAGGGGCGGGGACGTGTTGCTGGTGGTGCGGCGAGGCGGAGGCGGGGACGACGACGAGGACAACGCTGGCGAGCTTCCGTGAGGCCAAGGGAGGGCGGGGTCGTTGGGTGGCGGCGGACGGTGGGCGGCGTAGCCTACGGCAAGGCTAGCGGCGTGGGGGGGGGGGGAGGCGTGGTGCCGGGGGAGGAAGAGCGTGACTCGAGGTAGACGAAGACGCGCAACGGGGTCGCACGCTCCCAGAGCACGCGACAGGTCGTAGCTTAACTTTGTCCTACTTTTATAATAAGCACTCTAATTTTTGTATAGAAGAACAATGCTATGTATAATCCTTTGGTAAGAAAATCCAACAACTTAAGCAACGAGGGCGGTAAACTGCAGACTAGAAGTGGCTACCTTTTGGAATAAGTAGTGATTATTAAGCATAAATATTATAATCGTTTAAAGGTTAGCACTATTGACCCCTCATAGATCTCAACTCAAGCTCTACCTCTGTTCTTGAGCATTGCAGTGCAAGCTTAAACGGCCGTTTATATTATAATAGTAAAATAGTAATTAAGAGTGTAGTTTTCAATTTAAAAATCATTATTTTATATATATTAGAAAAGGAGAGTTTTTAATAAAATGTAATAAGTACGAGAGAAGTTTCAACTTAATTTGAGGAAAAATTATAGACTGACAAGATCAGTATCTGAAAGTCAGAGTCTAGATTCATGACGTTCTTAAATTAGAGCTATCACAATTCACAAGGAAAATTTGTAAAAGTTAATTTGTTTGGATCAGCTAGGCTTTAAAAGCCACAATATACAAGCTTTAACTTATCTAAACAGGGCTTGAGTCTGTTGTGTAGTTTTGTTGTTTACATGAGATCCCTATATGTTTTATAGTAGTTCTAATTAGTAGGCCTCGTATATGTTTTGTCGTACTCGTGATTTATTCTGAAAAAGAAAAACTTCCTCTGGATTTCAGATGTGTTGTCCTCTGGAATCAATAATTGAAATTGTGTTCAGCCAAAACAGAAGGGCGGCGAAGAAGTATCAAACATTCCATTCCTCTGTATTTCAAGAAGGTCTAGGTGATTTTGAAGAAAACATGCACTATGAGCTTAACAGGACTCTGAGCCTGGGTCATGAGGGGTATACGTGCACTAAAAGTCTAAAACTACAGGGACAGGGACAAACTCAACACATTTTTTTCCCACATTCAATTTGTCACTAGAAATCTACAAGCAAAATTAAACCTTTCACTTTTACAAGCACGAGGCAAGGTCAGGTGATGCAGCTATATACAGTCATCAGGTGATCGGCAAAATCCTTGTGTCCTAAGAGGATTTCATCTTGTTCAAGTTGTGCTTAGCCTGCAAATCATAGACTGCATGAGCAAGAAATTCTTATCTTTAATTGCAACTTTTATTAATCTTAGCAAATAGATGTGAAGTTCGAAGCCCTGACCGAAATTGCATCGATCTCCTCTAACAGGGGCTGGACAGCATAGGCCAACGTCTTGGCATCTTCTGCAAGATCCTCAAAGTCTTGACAGTTACCCATCAGCAGCGCTATGAAAAACTCTTTCTGGGATGAGCTTCAGTGCTACCTGACAACTATGCTCAACAGATTAGGTCAGTGGACAAAACCAACTCATCGCACAATCAGCTCTGCAAGCATGATCACAAATGTAAACAACAAAGAAGCTTGTCTGCATTCTGCAAACAAACAATTATCAGAAATATGACTGTACTATCTCGGAATGCGAAATAAATGTTCAGGTGATACCTTGTAAGCAGCTGATGAGATCCAGCCATGCCATGGCTTCAGAGTACTTGCATAGGCTTCTTCCACAATCTCTTCAAGGCTCGACTCAGGAGTTTTCAGCAGCCTCTCCAGCAAATATTTTGAGAAATTTATCGACCTAGACAGCCAGATGATAGCTCTGGTGCAGCTTTTGGTCTTCTTTGCTGTCCCTTGCTCCATTTCCTCGGTAACTATCACCGTCAAGCTCGCATATTTGGAAGAGTCTCTTTCATGCAGATCTTGTAATCTCTACGGGAGGGAGATCGAGAGCCAATTTTAGGTTAGTGATTCGGACAGATGCAAATGAATCGATGACAAACTGCAGAGCAGCCTGTGAATAAGTCTGTACATGAAGTGGCGTGCTCAGTGCAGAAGGGTTACCTGAACATTTTCCTGAATGTCCTGCCTCAGGACTAGCAAAGTCGGTCCAATCTCATCTTCATCGAACAGAAGGTAGAGTTTGTCAGTTTAATCTGATTTTTCAGAGAGATATATAGTGGAGAGAGTAGCACATGAAAAAAAAAACAACTGAATGGAATATGTTACTTTGGCATCTCAAAACAAGTGTTTTCCTCTCACAATATTTTAGCATAAACCAAATTTCAGCATAAGTGAACAGGCTGATTTGGGAAGGCATTTGGGAAGGCATATGGCACTACATCATGCTGTGCCAACCTAAAAGAAATATCTGTCTGAAAAGGAGATTTAAAAATCCCCCCGGCGCACATTTTGCATGGGTAATTCCATGTCCAATTTGGTGGCATCATGACAGAAAAAGGTCAAATGCCTCTGGGCCACTTATTTAGTTATCCATTCCCTCCAAGAATCCAACAGGGCATAAAGGGTGTATGCAAATTCTCACATCCCATATATGACAACACAATGAGGAATGCTAAACCTGACCCACAACACATGCACACAGAACCGGCATACAGAAACAACCAATTTTCTTTTCCTTTGTTCAATGCAAAGTAAGACTCAGAACAATAACATCACATCGTTGTCCTGAACACAGGAACCTATCTGAACAAAGTAATACAGAACATACTGTATATAAACAAAATAAAAACAGTTGATGATTATTGATCAGAACATTAGACCTGCTGAAACTACCTGACAACCGATCGAAATAATCCCCCCTGAAAATGGAAATCTTTGAGTACAGAACTTGAATATGACAGAGCATAGTCAGTTACGAACCAAGGACATGGATGAGCTGCTTGCAGACAGAGAGGATGTCCATGGTGGATGACTTGGGCTGCTCCTGCACTTTCACCTGCTGCACCTGAACCTGCTCCTCCTCCCCATCTCCTGGACTGCACATACGGAGCTCCTCCATGGCCAGTCTCAGCTCATACTTGCCCTTCTCCATCTCCTTCCGTTTCCTCTCCATCTATCCTCCTACCACTACCTTCCTTATCACCTAAACCACCGTGTGCCTCGGTTAATCCACTACTTATACACGTAGATGCAAGCTCATTTGCTGACATTTCTTGGGACAAATGATGGGGTCAACTTCTAGTTTCTGTCCTTTTCTTCTTTCTTTCTTTTTTTAGGAAAAAAAAAACAGTGGTGTCTTGGTGTTGTTCATCGCATCCATCTCTATGTCAAGTCAGAACAGCCATTGGGGAATCATTGTGAGTATAAAATGGGTGGTGGATCCTGTCCCTACTCGGCTGGGAGATGATTTTAATTGCTTGATGCAGTTGGCCGGGATGGACTTGTTTATTAACATTCACGCATTGCCGAGTACTTGGCATAGTAATATAATCTCTTTTTATATGCATGATTGTTGGTGAAAGCTTTTGGCAACCTACACCCAAACTCCAGCCAGTGAAAATATAGATTCTTTTTTTGAACCAAGAAAAATATACATTCTTGAAGGTAAAGTAGTACATTTATTCTTGGACTTCTCTACACATCAGTGTTAGTGTTGATCTCTCCAGCTCGGCCCAATGGCCGAGTTGAGCCTGGACATCGCGCCCTCATCGGGGGCGCCCAACCCTACATGGTTGGTGGGCCTCCGTCGTACTGCGCTATATAAAGAGGTGGGGGCTGGCGGCTCGCGGTACGAGGTTGACCACAGCCACAGTACCCCACCGACACAACCCTAACCGATCAAGGGTGCGCAGCAGCGGCGGGAAGCGCCACCACCGTTCTTCACCGCCTCGCCATCGCCAGGATGTCCACACCGCGGCCGGACGTCACTGCCTCCCCTTCGCCAGCACTCTACGTCATCGACACTGCCATGGCTTCCTCCTCCGCCAAGCCCACCGATGGTCAGCTACGTCTGCATCTCTCTCTAGTTCTCTTTCTAGTCGATCTAAGTTGTTTTATCCCGAATAGAAGAGGTTCCACCCGCTAGATCTATGACTAGTTGATCCTGCTGTTCTAACAATGGTATCGGTTGAGCCTATTCTAGGCGTAGCTCTAGGCTTTGGGTACAAATAAGAAGGAGATGAGTTCAATTTCAAGATTCGAAACCCTAACCCTAATGAAAATGGACGGAATGGGGAGGGGGACTCACCAGGGCTCCTCTGCCGCTGTCACCACCGTCGTCACGTGGGAAGAAAACCCGCCGCCGTGTGGGAAGATGAACCCAAGTCGCCGCTTGTCGGTGTTCCATCGCCGCGCAGGAAGATGAGCTCGATGACGTGTCACGCATGTGCGGGCTCGGGCTCCGAGCACCGGCGCAGGACCCCTCGACGGTAGCGCGCTCAACCACGGTCGAACGCGTGCGCCGATGAAAGGGCCTGCGGCAGCGCCGCCATCCTCCTTCGGCCGCTAGTGGTGTTCGCCGCCGCTTGGCTCGCCACATGAAGAAGGGGGGAGGGGACAAAATGACCTAGGGTTCAAGGGGAGGTGGCCGGGAATCGGGGTTTTGTCCCCGCGACATCTCCGGGTAGCCGTCGGATCCAGATGGACGGCCAGGATCCGCCGGGCCAGCTCTAGGCCTAGGCGGGGAAGAACTTTCCTACCTAGGCCTAGGTTGCGGCCTGAGCGCGGGGAGCGCGGCGTGCGCGGCTGGGCCATGGGGCAAAATCGCCGCTGGGCCACTAAACAATATGAGAAAGTTTACTCTAATCTATTTTTAGAAGCACATTTTTGAATGATTTTTAGTTAAATTTGAAGGTTTAAATCTCTGTCAAAATTTGAACCAACAGGATAATTTTCCAGAGAGTAGATGAGTACAGAAAAATACTTCTAAAAAGTAGATAAATTTCATTTTACATGTTTCCGCTGCTAAGTTAATGTTTCATCCCCTAATTAAATTGAAACCAACGGAAAAATTTAATTAGAGGAGTAGTCATATTTGTTTAAGTTAAATTATGGTATTATTATCTTTCTGACCAATGTTGGTGATAACAATTTTATAAGTATATTTATGAGTTGTTTCCATGCATTAATTCCATTCCTGCCCAACGGTGTTACAGAATTAATGTAGAAAAATGTTATATTTATGATTTTGCTATTTTCTGACCAAAGTTGATGATAGCAATATTATAAATGTCCTATTTATAAGTTTATGCATTAATTCTATTTCTGCCCAATAGTGATGTAGAATTAGTGTAGAAGAATGTTGTATGTTTTAATTTTGACCAATGTTAAATTAAGCCATGCAATTATTATGTCATGTTTTCACACTTTCTCTATTGATGTTTTCAGGACTCAACCCTATGGCATTCATCTCGCACATTCCGTCTCTTGATGGGGGCAACTATTACGTATGGCCAGAGAAGTATGAGTTGGCACTTGCGCTGTCCGAGAATGACCTAGCACTTACCTTGTAAACACCATCGGTGTTACGCCCTAAATAAATTACCAAACCATGTCATGAGCATCATATTTATGTGATAATGTATGTGATGAAAGGTGTAGATAACATTTTTTAACTTCAGATGATCAATAAAAATGTTAAATGATAAGCTATTCCACAACTCATGTATATCAAGTAGGGTTTAAAACCAATTTTTATTGAACAAAAATACTATATAACATATATATGGCACTTAACTAAAGTTTGGAGTAGGAACTTTGTAGATGACAATAAAATACTTGCTGTAGAAAAATAACATTGCTAGCTAGTGTTTCCAGTAGCTTAGAAATGGAACTTGAAATCAAAACTAGCATAAAGACTTAGAAAATTCTTAAGTTTAAAAATAGTTTGACAGCACCGGGTTTGTGAATTTATTCTGAGAAATCTAGTTAAAGATTAGTACTATGTTTTAGTTCTTTAGGGTAGCCTAATATGCTCTCTTGAGCATGGTGAAGGTGGCTTGGTTCGAAGATCATTAGTTTAGTTTTTATGAGTGCTTTAAAATTCGTGCACGACACAGCCTCGGGATGGTTGGCGCCGTGCGCGCGGTCACCGCTTGGCCACCCTCCGTCGCGCACATGGCCGCGTCCCGCGCGGTCACCCCGTGCCGCCATGCTGGGTCGGTCAAGCCCCCTCCTGTGGCTCTACACCGCTGACTGCCCTGCCGGTGGCCCTACCGCTGCTATGCCCACGCTTGGCGTATCCGCTGCATCGGCACATGGTCGTACCTGTTGTCGCCTCGCCCATAAAGGCACGGCAGTCGCTCATGCCATGTCGATCGTGGACGCACGCACGCCTTGTCCGGAGCGCCTATGCGTGTGCGTCCTGATCGCGCCGCTCGCGTCCTACCAAGACATGGACGAGCTGAGCTCTGACCTACCCCCATCCCCTCTCTCTTCGTTGCTGCCATGGTGGACTGAGCCACGCCATTAAAACAAGCAGGGAGAAGTCACCATCGCCCGATTCATCGCGTCGCTGGCTCTGTCACCCAGCTGCCTAGCTACCCGCCCCCACCCCGCCTTGATTGGCGCTCGGTCAAGCTTTAATTTTGGAGCTTTTCCCCGCCACCGTGACGATAAGGCCGAGTCCGCCCATCACCGAGGGCAGCTTCCATCTGACCACCTCGAGCCAAATTGGCTGCACCGCTAGACTCGTCTCGAATGCGAAGACGGGTTAATACCAGGGCCTTCTTGCATAAACATTGTCTGTAGAAATAGTGAGCATAGTCGTCGTGTTAATAGAGGATAGTGCGTAGGTGTTTCTACAAAAGCGCCGGTCTTGCGTGGGCCGCGAAAGCAGGCCGCTGCGCGCGTGCTGCGTCGCATGGGCCATGCGGGTGGGCTGCGCGGGAGATTGGTTTTTCTTTTTTTAGGAATTTGTGAATGGTTTTCTACTTTAATTTCTGAGCTGATCTTTGGTAATTAATATAAATTCGTGTATGTGTCTAAAAATTGCAAAACAAATTTTGTTAGAATCCTAAAATTATGGTCTATCTGTTGGTGTATTTAGTTCATACTTATATACGTTGACATTATGAGCTATTAAATCATTTGAGGATGCTTAATAATATTAAGCTAATTATTGTAGGAATTTTTGTGGTAAATTGGTGATACCTTTAGTCCTGAAATTTTTTGGATAGCTTCATTGTTTTATTATGTGATCACTGTAATTTTTGTAGCTTTAATAGACTAAGCATTAGGGTAGTTAAATGCTCTTTATTTCAATATATATTAAACCATTGGTAGAAATAAAGATATATCCTTGGTTTGCTAAGCTAAATGTTGTTAGTTGAACCCAACACCTTGTTTGATGAAAATGATAGTTAGCTTAGTATTTTAATCATTAGAGCTAGCACTAGTACAAAAATAAGTTGTACTCCCGGTTGGGAAACCCCTTCAGTCTCGGTTTCCCAACCGGGAGCACGAATTCAGGACCAACCGTGCGGCCAAGCAAAAGCAAAAAGGCATCCTGCCGCATAGCTGCTTTGGTGCGCCTCGGCACTGTAGCGCTGCTAAAGCATAAAAATAGCACTTGCCTCGGCATCACACATTATTGCTACACTAGCCTATAGTGGTAGCTACCTTAGTCTACTCATCGTCCCATCCCATTGTATAGCATAGGCGCAGCGAGCTTCCATGGCTGACACGTCTGCAGAGGTGGGCAGGTTCAGTAGCGCACGGCACGGTAGTCGGCAGCGGCAGCACAGTGCACACCACCATCTCACTTTCAGTGTATAAATTGAGGGGTAAAATTATAGGATATCACGTACACGATATTTGCATAGTAATAATTTTGCCCCTCGAGACTAGAGAGGATTTCTGTAATAAGTTTTTATGTTTTCATGTCCGAGGTGCCATGTTGGCCGAGCGAGGTTGAATAGGAATTGGATTGGAATCGAATACTCCAGTCGTCTCGAGTCTCCACCCGCGTGAGATACCCGATCGGGTCGGAGACTCGGGAGTCGGGACCGACCAGAACGCACTTCAACCACGCCACAGCAAGAAAATCCTGGCTGCCTATAAACCCCCGTGGCCCCTTTCCTCTTCTTCCGACAGATTCAATTCCCCAAATCCATG